GTGAGTTCGAGGCCAGCCTGGGCTACCAAGTGAGTCCCAGGAGAGGCGCAAAGCTACACAGAGAAACCCTGTCTCGAAAAAACCAAAAAAAAAAAAAAAAAAAGAATGTTGGAAATAGGGCATGAGAAGGAAGGACCAAGTCCAATTTCATTGAATCTGACCTGGAATCAACAATCCTCAGATACACTGAGCCAGTTTTGACGCTTTCTCTGTCTCTGTCTCTCTCTTCCTCTCCCTCTCTCACTATGTAGTACAGGCTGGCAAACTGGCTCCATACTCTTGATTCCTCTGTCTCAGTTTCTCAAGTATGCAATACTGTGTCTGGCCTCTGAAACTACTCATTATTGAAGGACAACGTAACCAACTAAGAACAGAAAGCATGGATGCGAATATAGTTGATTAAAACAGGTATATAAAAAGCATAAAATGAAATAGGTAGAAACTGAGAAAAAGTGGTAAATTTTGCTTAGAGCAAAAATAAAACTATTCATCTCCATGAGTGTGGAGTGCTGTTTTCTCTCATGGTTTTATCTCCTTTGTATCGAAGGCCATGATTTTCATCAGTTCCTCGTTCCACTTATTGTGGGTTTTGCTCTTTGTTCTTTATCAAAATCATAAATTATGTTTTTTGATATATTAGTTTTACTGGCGCTTTTAAAAACCTACCTTGTGGAATCATTACCTCTTCTACTTTTCCCCATTTGAAATATTGAAAATTTCCATTTCCTTAACTATTATTTAATTTTGCTTTTCATATTTATATCTAAATGAAACATTACATCCCCAGGCAACTTTCTCTGTAATGATGGAAGTTATTAAGGCTGTACATTTCTGAATAACACTTTCATGTCTTCTCAGCTTTTGTCTGGGGCTGTTGTTTTTCACCGCCTCCTTGACAGATTTTAATTTCCTTTTTGATCAAAGATTGTCTTGCTTTGTGCTTCTTTTATTGTCAATCATTATGTTTGTTTGTGTTGTTGCCATTTACTTAATTCTAATTTTACTAGCTTATAACCAGAGAATGCAGCTTATAAAAAACTGTCCACTTCCATATTTGTATAGGTCATCTCCACCCACAGTGGCCATATACATAACTGACACTTAAAAAAATAAAACTACAGAAATAAGCTGGAGATGTGAATCTCAATGGTACAGCAGAGCAGTGGCCATGTGTGTGCAGCCTGTGTTTTATCCTCTGCACTGAAACACGTGGGCAGCTGTTGTTACTGTTTCTATTAAGTTCCAAGAATACCTCCCAACTGCATTCGAAGGTTAAAGTGTTGAATATATCAACACATTGCCTATGTTTTACAGTCTTTTTCTTTTTCTTCATGTTTTCAATTCTGAAATACACAGATGTTTCTAACTTGATTATATTTTCAACAAGTTCCATTTGCTTTGAAAAGAAGTGCCTTGAGCCCTGAGCAGCTCTGGGTCTGGCTCATAACATCTGTGGCTTCACATCTACAGCTGTGCCATGTCACTATGTGGTCCTGTTGAGCCAGGTCCAGGACCCCTGACTTCCATTTTGTTGATGTTAATGCAGTTACTTTTATTTTGTTTTGAGTTTCCTCATTCTGTTTCCATTTGTTATTTGAAATGTTCTTTGTAAATGATATCTGGCTATGTTTTGTTAGATATATTGCCTGTCTCTTTTATGATAGAGGCTTTTGGTTTTATATTTTATTCAGTGACTGATGGATTCTCAAGTGTTGCTTTTATTTTATTTCAGATGTATTGCAACATGTGGTGTTTTTATCTTTTTTTTATTGTTTGGCTCTTCTTGCTTATTCTCTTTCCCCTTTTGTAGAAATGAGATCATCCATTCCTCTTTGGCATTCAGGTTATTTTGTGTAATCTTAATCTAAATAATTAAATACCTGTCATCTGCTATTCATCAAAGAAAAGATCACCTGGCCAGCAACATGGTTCCTCAGGTAAAGGCTCATAGCACCAAGCCTGACTCCCTGTGTCTTATCCTCCAAGCCCACAATGGTGAAGTAGAGAAGAAACTTCAGTAAGCTGTCTTTGACCTCTGCATGTTTACCATGGCACACATATAACCCTCTACTTCCTCAATACTCAAATAATGAGTTCACCACCCTAGAAGAGAATATCACTGCTTACTTACCCCTTGGCTGTGTCCAAAAACATGAGATTAAAGAAAGCCTACTGCCTCCCTCCTCACTTCTTTCCTGAATCTCACTAAGGAATAGTGGAAGTGTTCTCCTTCTCTGTGATCACTTCTCCAAGGCTCGATGACAGAAGCACACATTATACCCCCTTCTCTCCACACATACACATGGTAGGCATGTCACACTGAATCACCACTAGTCTTTTTTATGTTTCTCAGTTTTTCTGTTTATTGTGTAGATGCTCTTTTCTCAGTATGTTTCTCAATAAGTTCTGAGACTTTTTTTCAATAGGTTCCAAATCACTTCCTCGCCTCAAATCCCTTCTGTTTACCTTACTAGAGGAATGATGTCTAGGTTGGCTTTAAGCTGATGTTATGCAAAGATCCTCTTTCCTCTCTCACTGATGATATTATTTTCCAGGGATTATTTTTCCGAGTTAGAAAACACTTGCCATTTCTAGAGGATAAGGTTTCGGCAATGCACCAGCGGGTGCGTGTTCTTTTCTATTTTATTCAGCTTGAATCACAGTGAACATTGGAAATTCATGAGTTCAGGTCTTCATTAGTTCTAGAAACTGCTCTTTTTAGTTTTTACTTTCTCCTTGGGGAGTCCCCATGTTCTGCATCTGTCATTACTGACATTTTAGTCACAACCTACCCTGTGACTTTCCTCCCTGGCATCTTCTTTGAGTGGACACTGAGCTTGCAGAGTTCACATACTTGACCTTCCATTTTACTAACTTAGTTCCCAATAGCTTCATTTTCTCCTCGAGTAGATACATTGAATGCAATATGCTCAAGTCTTAGAAGTGTGTTAACTTGATTCACCTCCTGCCTTCTGCTCCAGCGAGTCCTTCACATTGAGTACAAGTTTGATAGTTTTGCCCGATCTCCTGCTTGACAGATTCCCACAGATTGGTTGATATCACCATTTTTGACCAACTGGAATTTGAATGTTCTTGCTAGTGTACCTCAGCAGGACCTATACACAGAATGGAGAACAAAGGTCTATCTGCCCCTATGGGCTTCAAGATGAGGCAGGCAGGGTTGTACTTTTTCATTTACTCATTTCACTGTTCTTTTTCATCCCAAGGAAGAAAGTTTTAGCTCAACATCCTTTGCACTTGCCTTTGTAGATTTGAAACACTCTGACTGACGTGATTTTCAACATGCTCTTAGAGGACCACAGATCTTTCCTGGAAGCTTTCTCCAAATATTCCTGTTTTTAAATCTTTAAGTAGGCTCTGATTCTGTTTTCCTTGTACTTACTCAGATAATAAAGTCAAAAGACCCATATCGTTCTCTGTGCCTTGAATCTCAGAAGCCCAAGCCCAATACATCCACTTTCTTCTTGCTTTGGCAGAAAAAGGAAGGTTGAACTTTGGGAACAATGTGTGAGGCCACCATGCCACAGTGTCCTGGAAGACTGTTATAGTGATAATATTATGGTGATAATATAGTGATAACAAACAAAAAGAACATGATAGCCCGTTGACAAAAACAGAATTTATCCATTAATCACAAGGATAGGCAAAAGACTAAGGGCCAGTTCATCAGCCTAAAATCTAACAAAACTATGCAAAGTACTTAATAATTCCTGACCAGTGTATTTCTATGTTCTCCATTTCTTTTTCTTTCTTTCCTAATAAGGCACATTTTTATCAGTGATAGAGAGTAGGGTTTCTTGGCACAAACAAGAAAAGTGAAATTATTTTTGGTCTGAATTATAGGGGATATTTCAAGATCATCTCATTGTTTTTTCATTTATTTAGTAAATATTTATTTAGCATCTGTTACCTCCCAGACCTTTGCCAGCATTAGAATAGTGTTTGGCTTGACTGAGTGAGCTGTGGATATTTGTCCCTTTTCGCTTGAATGACCTTCTCATTCTTCACTTTCCCTCTTCTTAAAGATTTTCTCTTGGGAAGCAGCCATGCCAGTTTGTTCCAGCCATGATGATGATAGCAAGTATTTGTGTCCTGTTCACATACAGAAGGCTTGAAGTATTGTGGTTCCATTTGCTTTATGTTTTGGAACCTGGACTACAAATTCAACTACGTGGGGAATTCTGGGAAGCCAGGAGTTGAAAATAACAAGTACCCTGGTGCTACCTCTAGAAATTCTGATTTGATTAAGTGTTGCATGAGAAAACCAGAAAGCAGACAACCAAGTAGATAGAAACCTGAGAAATATTCCATAATGCTGGATTGAGAGAATGCAAGCTTCTGCTTGGAGAAGAAACATCAAACATCTGTTTCCGTGACACATTTGCATAGAGACAATGTTGAAAGTAGAATGAAAGTAACACAGGATGCTGCAAGTTCAAAGTGTGCCTTTTATCATCTCCTTGTTTAGGGCAGATTCCATAGAAACAGTAGGTTCATTCAGGACAGATCCCCAGGACAGACAGACTTGTAAAAGAGTGAGAAGGAGCAAAGTGAATAGGGCTGTGATATCAACACGAGTCTACTACCCTCAACATGATTCCACCAGGAAGCTACGGAGTGTGAAAGAAAAGCACAAAGTGGAAGCAAGTGGTCAGGGACTTAACTACATCCCCATATCAACTATTTGTTGAAAATCTCTTAGGTTTTTATTCCTAAGAAAGCAGACAAATTCTCTGAAGATGTCAGCAACCATAGGTTCTTAGCAGTTGCATCTGGCTGTAGCTGCGGGGGTGCATCTACTTGTCACTGAGGGTGGGGTGAAGGCAACTTCTACACCTGGACAGATGTGACTGTACCATGCCTCAGTACTTCTGCCCTTGAAGTGCCACAAATGAAGTATCCACAGGGAACAGAACATTAACACAGAAGCATTCTGTGCACCAAGAAACCCATCCTCCCTTTCTTGCCTCTGCATGCCTTCAAATCTGTTGCCTTTAAATACTGGTGCTTGAGAAATCATACTTTCCTTAAACTTTGGTCCTAGTGAAACTGCAATCCAGGGAGGCTGCCCAAGTGCCAGTGAATGGCTCTACACCCATGCACAAACAGGTAGCACTAAGTGGACTCAGTGGAATTAGAAAACAGAGCACAGGAAATGTGGAAGAGGAATTGAAGAGGGGGAGGGGTGGTTTTGATTAGGACACATTAGATGCATGTATGAAATTCTCCAATAAAAATGCAGTCTTGTAAACACTATATTGAATGCTTTGGGAAATCTCTGTTTAACAGAAAGCACTTCATTACTAACTGAACGCAGGAGATGTGGGCTTTAATTCTGCCCCTGACTTTGGAGAAGTGGTTTGCTGTCTCTGGGGTTCACCAACTTCAGTTAAAAAGGTATGTGGTCAGAGTCCCAGTTACTTTTGGACACTGAGAACTTGTGATTTGAATTCTCATTTCACACAGGGAGGAAGCAGATCTAATTTTTTGTTTACGAGAGATAAGTTTTGATCTTGCCACATTAATACAAAACAAGAGAAAGAAATGCAATCACTGCTCCCCCTCCCAAAAAAAGGCTATGTGGCTTTGTTTGGATCCGGGGTCTCTGATATGGCATATTGGATGTGTCAATGTCATGTGATTTATTGTGCTTCATAACATTTGGGAACAGATATTTGGTATTTCATCCAAGGAAAGCAATTTTCAGAAACCTTTTAGAAGGTGGCTGGAGCATCAGTAATCAGTGCCATTTCTTTATGCCAACATTTCCTTAAAGCAGCACAATCTTTCATTTTAATCATCCCTCTCAGCAGGCTCCTTCCAGGGCACAGGAGCAGGGCACCCACCCCTCAGAAATGAGGTTCTATTTTTAACAGCCACCAGCCAACAAACTCCCTATTAATCGTGTGAAATCTGCTCAGATGGCTGCTCTTCTGGGTTCTTGTGTCCCACACCCCCCTCTTCACTCCCCATCTGCACAGCCCTCCCCTGAAGATATTTTTAGTCCTAGCAGCTACATCCTTGAGAATTACTAGGAGGATGCTGTGCTTTGTTTCTAAATAAACATTTTAGAGATGTGGTTTTTTTTATTTCTGATATTTTCAAAGAGATTAAGCATGCTACTTCTTAAAACAAGTCAGTATTAACTAAGGAGCAATCTGGACTGGGAGATCTTCATCTTCCTGGGAATTCCTTTCTCACAAGGAGTAAACGCTCCATTGTTCAGTTGTGTTTAGTCTTCTCAGGGTAGTTTTGAGAGTTATCTTTGGAACAGGAAAGCCCAACCTTTCTCACTGCATACATTTTCTCTAAGTTTTCAAATTTGTATCACTAAATGCAGGCATCTCTTTAAAGCACTGAGCTAGGACAGAGGACTTACTCTTGAGGGCCAATGTGGTATATCACTGAAACTATAATCATCAAAATATTTTCAAAGCACCTGGAGGATTCCAGGAAATAGCATCTATAATAAGAATTTAGCTTGGTTAGCACAAATTGCAGTGTTTAATCACCCACTCTCCATAAAAGAAACCATATTGCCTATTATGTTATTAGCTACTGTGATTTGTGGGTTGTGGTTTTTAGTAGGTTATTTGTGCATATAGGAAAAAGACATTTCTAAGAAAAAGACAGCATAGTCTCCTTCCAACATCCTTCCCCTGATCTTTCTAGATATTTATCACATAAACATACATATATATATATCCTTAAGCTAATATATATATATATATATATATATTACACATATACTCACATGTATCATTGATACACACACACACACACACACACACACACACACACACACACACACACACACACACACACACACCAAGTAATCCTTAATTTTGTCACAAGTATTTTTCTGTGTCTGTCATGGTCTGAATGAAAATGGTCCCCCATAGGCTTCTATATTTGA